GACGGGGATTCGAACCCACGATTGTGATAATGTATAACTCTCATCATAACGTGGAACGGATGATACAAAAGGATAGATAACTCTCGTCATAACGTGGAGCGGATGATACAAAAGGATAGATAACTCTCGTCATAACGTGGAGCGGATGATACAAAAGGATAAATAACTCTCGTCATAACGTGGAGCGGATGATACAAAAGGATAAATAACTCTCGTCATAACGTGGAGCGGATGATACAAAAGGATAGATAACTCTCGTCATAACGTGGAGCGGATGATACCAAATGATGGGTATCATCGTAACTTGTATATTATGATATTAATAGTTCTGGTACAATACTTTGTTAATCGAAGAGGTTGTAAAAATGAAAGTATAAGTACATAATTATTGCCAACAAACCGTTATTAAACAATTTTTTTTACCATGAAATATAATGCTCGGGTGTTTATGTCTACATATTTATGAGGAATTGGAATTTTCTTGCTTTGAAATAACATTACAAATTTCGTATATTAAAGTAATCTGCAGTACTCGTTGTCATGGTTAGTAGTCTCAAACTAAAAAAAAATCACACAAGTCTAGTAACTGATTACTCACTACTATATATTATTACTAGACACCAATTACTAGCTTTTTTTTATCTGTGTTTCGGCTGCTAATCTGCTGCCGTTTTCAGGGAAGTTTTGAGCAAGACTGTTTTTGCTGAAATTTGATCCTAAACTTTTCTCATAGAAAAGCTACGCTATCCAATTCTCTAAGTTTTCCCATTAAAACTTGAATCAACTAATTTAGTTGACTGTTTTTAAGAAAGGTATCCTGGTTTTTGCTGAATTTGTGCTAGGTTGACGAATGTGTCATCAGTTAGGTGAACGTAGAAGGCTTCTTTTATCTTCTGTGGTTCATGACATTACATGTAACTCAAGTAACCATGGGAGTTTACAGGAAACCCATAGATACTGGTAAATATCTCGACTATAAAGCAAACCTTCCTAACAGTATAAAGACAGACATCATAGATTGCCTAGTTTCCAGAGTTAACAAGATTTGTAATAACAAAGGTACTAAGAAGGAAGTAGAACACTACCCTCTTGACAATGGAAACACTTGATAATGAATAAAATAAAGATGACGAAGATAAAGATGAAAAAAATTACAGACATATAACCACATTACCTTATGTCAAAGGTTTCTCAGAAAACATATATACAAATAGTACACAACAAACCATCCAAAGACCCAGTGCCGTGCAAAAACACCATTTACAACATCCCTTGTGCATTTGAGAAAACAAACAAGACCAAGAAATGTTAGAATTCAAAAACATAAGAGATATATAAGACTACTATTTGCAATAGTTCAACGTGTCAGAGGAGAGTACTATATCATAAATTGGAATAATACTAAAATAATGGGATATGAAACACACACGAGAAAAAGAAGCCTTGTGTACAGCTACCTAACTCATAACATACTCAGTCAACCACGTATAGAAGTAAGCAAAACGCAGACATCCCTCTTGAAAATATTCAGATTATTGAAATCCTAATGAGGGGAAGTCCCACAGGAGCGGCTGGCACACTCTAGCAAGAAGACCCAGAACTGAATCCCAGCCACCACCACTACAGAAACAGTCCTTGCCATAACAGTCCTAGCCGATAACTAACTAACTGGTAATTAATGGGATATGAAACACACACGTCTACAGCTAACTAGTAATAATACTAAAATAATGGGATATGAAACACACACGTCTACAGCTAACTAGTAATAATACTAAAATAATGGGATATGAAACACACACTTCTACAGCTAACTAGTAATAACACTAAAATAATGGGATATAAAACACACACGTCTACAGCTTACTAGTAATAATACTAAACTAGTAACTAATTAATAACTAAAATTAACTGATTCTATAGGCTACTAACCGCTCCAGTGGTTGTTATCCGATCGCCACAATCTAACCATAAGTACTTAAGCAACATTATCGTTATTTCACAATTGTTAACATCTACATGACTATACTACCAAAGCACGCTTGTTTAACGATTTTATACTTAAATATAACTGACCTGGTATTAGGCTTTCCATTTTAACTAAATCTCATCGTGATCGGAATTTTACAAGTAGAGCAAATAACTATCTACAGCATGTACAAGACAAAATACGTAGAATTTTGCGGAATGATTGAGACGAGGTGTTGGCATTACTAATGGTATAATTATTCACTGGTCGAAACGTTGTGAAAATAATAATACGCATAATAAAGACGAGAATAATAGTCCGAATAATTATACCATTAGTACTACAAAATATATATTTACTTCAAGGTTCGTTTGCAGACAAATGGCTCGATGTTATACACCAAAAACCTTGCATAATTTTTAAAGTTATCGTGATTAAAAGTGGCAAAGTTACAATTTTATAATTATTTACATTAGAAAAATTTAAAGAAACAAGTTCCATCTGAGTAAAAAAAAAAAAAAGTCTTTTAATACGAAATGATGTGAAAGTAATATTCCTACCTTTGTTTTCGAAGTCTTGGGACTTGTTACAGTTACATCCACAGCATAAATTTCTAACTCGTAAACTTGTGCGTTGTTTTCCCGATCCAAAATAACTGCTGTAGTTATTACACCATTTTTTTTATTGATGGCAAAAACCCGGTTTTGTGGCAGGCCATTACCATAAATCGCTGTCAGGTAGTACTCCACGTTTCCAGCAGGCCCATTAGGGTACTGAGCTCGGACTGATAACACGACAGTACCTACTGGTTCGTTCTCAAAAACTGATCCAGAATATTCAGAAGCAGTAAACACTGGTCCTCGTTCACGTTTAGTCGTCCCGATTATCGTTATTTTGTTTCTAGATGTTTTAGCATTCCAGGAGGTTGCTTCATCAGTAGCCTCCACTGTTAACGAATAAATAACTTGTGGTTGTTCTATTGAATGGGAAAGGTACAATTCGCCGGAGATTCCATCCAAAAAGAAGGTGTTGTCTTTTTCTTCCACTAATTCGTACGTTACCATACCATTGGTGTCAGTGTCAGAATCATCGGCGCTTACCTTCATTATGATGTACCCACGATCTGAAGCCTCGGGCAAAATGCCTGCGTCCATGGATACAAAAGTTGGTGCATTGTCATTCACGTCCTCGACGATGATAGTTACTGTTTTTTCAGAGGACAGTCTGGCTTTCGCTGAAAGAGCCTGATCGAAAGCCACTACAGTCAATATAAAGGTGTCACTGTATTCCCGGTCAATTTCTCTAATGGTAGTTATGACTCCTGTTTCAGGTTCTATAGCAAAATGACCGCCAGGTGGCTCTTGCTCTCTGATTAGATACCTGACATCTCCATTTCTACCCGAGTCTTTATCTTCTGCTGTAATTGTCACTACTGGTGTATTTGGTAGCACTCCTTCTTCTATCTGTCTTACTATGGCAATGTTAGGGAATATTGGATGGTTGTCATTCACATCGGTAACCCTGATTATAAACTGTGTGTTTGATGTCAGCCTTGGTGCTCCTCCGTCGCTAGCACTGATATTAAGGTAATATATGCTCTGTTCTTCGTAATCTAGAGGGCGGTCAAGACAAAGCACTCCGGCCGTGTCGTCGATTTTAAAGGTTTCTTTAATGTTACCAGAACCAATAGAATATGAAACAACTCCATTAGTTCCTTGATCAGAATCAGTTGCAGAAAACGTAAATATACTGAATCCTACAGGTGTATCTTCTGGTATTTCAACTGACTGCTTTGAAACCTGAAACACTGGAGGATTATCATTTTCGTCCAGGACATCAATTGTAACCGTTGCAGTTGAGGTGTGTTGTACATCGTCTCCAGTGTCTGTCGCCAATACAGTTAGTATAAAACGTGGTGTCCTCTCTCTATCTAAAGTCTTAACAACTGTAATTTGTCCACTGGAGTAGTTAATTAAAAAACTTCCTTCATCATTTCCAGTTAATATAGAGTACTGTACGTTTCCGTTTGCTCCCCTATCAATATCAGTAGCGCTAACACGAACAATTTGAGTTTGTAACGAAGCTCCTTCGGATATGGTAGTGTGATAGGGTATGCGCTGGAACTGTGGAGAATTATCATTGACATCAGTGATATACACAATGACTTTGGCTTCATCTCTCAATCTCATCAAGCCACCGTCTAACACAACGGCTTCTATGGCTATGTAATCATGGCCAGAAACCTCCACCAACTTCTCCCTGTCAAATTCGTGTAAGGTTCGAATGAGTCCAGTTTTAGGATCTACAGTGAAATCATTTTGGTTGGTGGTTATTGAAAATGATAATTCTGCATTCTTTCCTTTGTCTTCATCATCGGCGATAAGTCTTCCTATGTAGGTGTCCGGTGGTTCGTTTTCAGCCACATAAAATGTGAAAGTATCGTTACGAAACTGTGGTTTATTGTCATTCTCATCTATAATATGAATCACAACCGAAACTTCAGAACTTCGTGGTTTTGTACCATTATCCTTAGCTTGTACTGTTAAACTATAATAACCCTGTCTCTCCCTATCCAGTTCATTTCTAACGTAAAGCTGTCCATCAGGAAAAATACCAAATTTTGAATGTTCATTGCCGTCTATAATTTCATACGAAACGTGGCCATTATTGGTAGAATCAGCATCAGAGGCCCGTAGAGCAAAAAACCTGTCATTTACTTTTGTGGATTCTAATACCGATGTTTCGTATGACACCTGGTCGAAAACTGGAGTGTGGTCATTTACATCCTCTACCATCACAACAAGTTCTTGCACAGAAGTCAGTGAAGGAACACCTTTGTCTCTAACAGTTACTTCTACTCTATACTCTGCACCTGACATGAACCTTAAAGGGCGATTCAAGTAAATCACTCCTGTATTTTTATTGATGCTAAAAGTATCTTCTGGATTAGTTGTTAATGAGAACTCAAGTTCGCTATTAGAACCAAGATCCAAATCCCTACATTTGACCAAGTGAACTTCATGGCCTATTGGCCAATTTTCAAACATCTTTACAATGTCTGGGGGAATTTCAAATGTTGGTGGATAATCATTGACATCAAGTATTGTCACATTAACGACAGATTCAGAAAATCCTACGCTTCCATAAGCAACAACAGTCAGAATTACTTCTGAACGAACCTCCCGATCAACTTCTTGCACTGTGGTGATGATTCCAGATCGATCTTCAATTTTAAACCAATTCAAAAAGTTTCCAGATGCGATAGAGAATTTTGCATCATAAGAATGTTTGTTTTGGACTAATGAAACCCGACCCACTTCACGACCAACATTTGGTTCTTTACCATCAAAATCTTCCTCCACCAAAAAATTATAACCGAAAAGTTGCTCGAACTGCAGGAAGTTTTCCTCTTCTTGTTGGACGTAAACCATCACTATTGCTTGTTCTGGAGACCTTCGTTCCTCATTAATAGCACCAACTAATATTTTGTATTTGGTTTTTAAATGTCGTTTGATCGGCGCATTTGTCTTTATTACACCAGTATCTTCTTCTATTTCAAAATTGGCATTAGCACCACTAATAATAAAAAAACTAACCTGCCCATTTAGCCCTTCATCCTGGTCTACAGCAGTAACACGGGTTACAGAAGTACCAATTGGAACATCTTCTTTAACTACAGCATAATACTGTTTGGGATAAAAAACTGGATCATTATCGTTTACATCTAATACATTCAAAAATAACGTCACTGTCGAAGAAAGAGGTGGAATTCCTTTATCCATGGCAACCACTTTAATAGTATACAATGATATTATTTCTCTGTCCAGTACTGTCTTTGTGGTCAAGCGTCCATGGGTATCGTCAAGGGAGAATATTCCACTATACTGTTGTAATGTTTCTGGAGCAAAAACATATCTGATACTTCCATTCGTTCCCAGGTCATTATCCGAAGCAGAGAAAATTGTAATCAAAGAGCCTGTAGGAGCACTCTCTGACAAGGATAAGTTTCTCACGTTCTCGGAAAAGGTTGGAGCTTCATCATTTTCATCCAAGAGTTGAATTTTGAGATAAGTGTGAGCCCAGCGTGGATTAGGCCCTCCATCACGAGCAGATATTTTGAGCTCCACGAAGTCTTGCTCTTCTCTGTTCAAAGGCTGCGCGGTGGTAATAAGACCTGTTTGGAAGTCCAAACTGAACCAGCGTTTTTCATTCCCGGAGGCTATTGAATAATAAATGTGGGAATTAATTCCAGTGTCTTCATCGACGGCATTTATAGCGGCGACAAAAGTCCCCACTGGTACAAGCTCACTCAGGACAGCAACATATTCGGTCTTTTCAAACACTGGTTCGTGGTCGTTCACGTCATTCACGTGGATAATCAAAAATGCTGTTGAACTTCTCGTTGGAGAACCCATATCTCTAGCGGTGATAGTGAGGTTATATTTGTTAATCTGTTCGCGATCCAGAATTCCATTAACACGGACGATATCAAAACTGGGTGTTGATTCTAATCTGAAATGAAACTGTTCGTTTCCGCCATGAATCTCCACAGCTGTCTCTCCATTTGGTCCTTCATCAAAATCGATAACACTGACTGCTGCGACAACCGATCCATTTTGTGCATTTTCGTCCACTGTAGCATACTTAGCTGTCGCAGGAAAAAACCGGAAGCGGATGATAGGATCGTGGTCATTAGCGTCCAGCAGGTTCACGGTGACATAGGTTCGTCCGTCTTGTCTAGGTGAGCCATAATCTCGAGCGAAAACAGTAAAGACGCAACTTTTCGGGCAATTTTCAGGTCCCGGGCAATCCTTTTGGCAGTTTAGATTATTCAAAGTCGAAATAATCCCCGTTTGTGGATCTATTGCAAACTGAAGCTCTGTTTGGCTCAAAAAATAAGTTATTTTAGCGTTATCGCCTATATCGTTATCAGTAGCACGAACTTGTAGTACAGTCGTACCGGGAGGTACACTTTCGTTCAAACTAACCGAGTAGTCACTATGGTCAAATATAGGTGGATTGTCGTTCACATCTAGAATTGTAACATTAACTTGAAGAAATCCAAATCTTGGCGAACTTCCGCCATCTTGAGCAGAAATATTCAGTTGATAATTAGAGTTGTCTTCTCGGTCAAACCTTCCGGTAGTTTCTAGATGTAAATAAGGCGTTTCTCCACTAGGGTTCGTCGTTACTACTAATTTGAACACCTCATCCTCGTTGCCAGAAACTATTTTGTAATCCGTGGTTATGTCATTGATGCCTACATCGCCATCTGTTGCTGTGTCTAGGATAACCCTAGTCCCAATGTTGGCGCTTTCGGAAAATGTTACATGTAAGCTAGATTCAGGGAATACAGGGGCGTTGTCATTAATATCTAATATCTTGATTCTTACTTCTATAGGATAAGTGGGCTGGCTACTCAAAATCACAAGGTCGAATCTGTCGCTCACAAGATTTTCTCTGTCTATCTCAGCGTTAGTTCTGATGGTCCCTGTTGTCTTATTCAGCTGAAAATATTTTGGCTTATCATTGAAACGGTAAGTAAAATTGGGTTTCGTGGGTATTGTACCTACTACAGTACCCGGGGGTTGTTCTTCTTCTATTTCAAATTGAACCCTCGTGTCCACTTCTCTAGACTTCATGGTCAGTCCCAATTCCCGTGTTCCGGAGTTCTGACCCTGCGCATAACTATAATATAAAAACTACAGTGCAGTTTTAACAATATCTGTCAATCTTATGAATGATCAGAACTAAGAATCTTCCATCTAATGGGTCAAACTGTGGATTAGAAATGCTTGTTTTTTCTAAATTATACCTACCTTCAAGTCCACAGAAAGTAAGTCATTTCCATCCATTCAATTAATTTAATCAACTAATCTGCCATAAACTAACATGATATTTAGCTAGGTTTGGAAATTATACATTTTCCACAAATTTCTTTTTCAATCTATTTCTCTTGTTACACTGTAATTTTACAGTTACAGTATTGGTAACAATTCATCCTTATACAAATTTTGATATGTTTTACATTTAATGTGTTTACAAAAATATTTTACATTTCCACTCAAACAATCTCTACATTGTGTTAGGTTTTATACTGTGAAGCCAATCAGAATATTTACATAAAATTATTAACTCAACATAATTTAGTATCTTGTAGGTGTAATTTCTTAAAGCTCCAGCCGGTTTAAAAAATTTTCATTGAAAACCTATCTATAACAGTATTAAGATACCTTTCTTTTGTTGTGTGAATAAAATACCAAACATCTTCAATAGTAAAATTAATACTTCAAAAAGATTGCAGAACAAAGACTATCTTACTTCTGTCTCGAACTAAAACATAATGGATATTGTGGTCAGTATCAGGGTCTCGAGCCTGAAGCTTAAAGACAGGTGTACCAGGTGCAGCATTGAGTTGGACCACAGACTGCATTGGTAATGGCCGATTGATGAAATAAGGTGGTTCATCATTAACATCTCGGATGTGAATAATAATTCGCTGTCTCTCAGGTTCTGCAAGATTTAATAAACCCTCACTCTCAGACACAAATTAAACAAATGTAATGGCATCAAACTGAAATAATTAAAACTTGTATTTCATTTATTGTTGTAAATTTTCTAGATTTTTATTATTTCTAATACAGTTATCACTTTCCTGAGGATCTTAAGTTCTTAAATCTTCTAGACTGTTCATCATTTAGTACTGAAATTCAATAATAATGCATTAGCTTTACAGATTTCTCCATCAAAATACACACATACAACATACAGAGAAAATAATGTTATTTCTAAGCAAACGGTAATAAATAACTTTTCAACTTTCTGTTAAATATTTTGTACTAAGTACCATTAATTATTTTATGTTTGACCAATTTCGCATGTTTCAAATGTACCTTCAATAGCACGTTAGCAACCCATTCAGTATTTGAATAAGATACTATTAGTTCTTTAAAGAAAATCCAAACTCTGTGGATCTTTAGTGCTGAGCAAGGTAACTAAATTTTAAATAATTTATTTTTAAAACTCAATAGTTTTTCAACGCAACATAATGTTTGCATTATAATTCCAAACCTTTAAGCATTATATATAATGCATTCTACATAAACAACTGTTTATAATTATATGGATTTACCAAACTAATACTAGTTATACTTCTGTCATTATCCTGTACTTGTACTTGTAGAACTTACCGATGAAAAAATAAATCATCGAAAACATTAATACATTACGAGATTCTAAAATTCAAAATCACCAGCACACCTTCACTTTTTAAAGTTTTACTTATTGCTTCGCTGAAAAACGTACATCATTCAAAATATAAATATTAAATATACAGTATATAAAACACGATATCGAACTTCACCATGCCTAAAAATAAACTATATCAAATGAAGTTTCTGTTTGACATGAGCCCTATAGCAGCTACTGTTTTCTTTATCTTCTTACAATTCAAGCTGTCCAACTTAGTTCAGTTTAAATTTTTGAGTTTTTCTCCCTTTGTAGACCCATAAAACATGTCATTCATCACTGCCGGGCCCAGGTGCTTTTTATCAAATATTGAAGAATAAAGTTTATCATAAGAACAAAATAAGAAACGTTGTTTGTAAAGTGCACATCAATCTGATTTTGTGTTTTGGGACCATTCGCCAATTTACAAATACTTGCACCAGCACATAATCCATAAATCTCTTTCTCACTCTTTACTTTTTCTTCATATCAACAAAGAAATGTTATATGGTAAAGTTGTTTTTTTTTTATCGACATCAGTTTAGTAGGAACAATACGTAGAATTTGCTCATAAAACTGTTTTTTTTTATCAAATTACACAATTTTAGTTGTGTCAATTTACAAAAAAGCAGCAACATAATACACCTTTTTTCCCTTCTTCTTCTTGGAGTAAAAGATCACAAAATGGTACTGTAAGTACTTTTTTCTGGAAAAATTCTAAGTCTTCATTCTCAACCTTCTGTTACGTGGAAGCAAAGACATTAATTTTATTCTAGTTTTCCTTGGAGATGTTTTCTAGAGACAGCCGACAGTGAACTCCACATACGTAACTTTTATGGATGTCAGCCCTAAAGAAAATTTTCGAAATTTGTGCCGATACATATTTTGACAAAGCAGAAAGATGTTTTATAATCTGCAAGACAGTATGATTTACAAAATTTGTACTGTGGCTTAAATCATAAATGTTAAAGTAGTTTTCTTCTTAAGAATAGAACATATAATTGCCTATTATTATCAGCATTTTTTTAAAAATTGCAGACTAAAAGTATTTAAGTAACTGAAAGAAAATCTCAAACCATTACCTTTCTAATATTTTTGAGTGAAATATTAGTTTTATAGTTAACCAACGATAAAAAAAATCACCCTTTGTAGTTCCCCAATTCCCCCACAGTTGCACAGCAGTATATATATGGCCTTACAACGCTAGAAACCGGGTTTCGATACCCGTGGTGGGTAGAGTATAGATAGCCCATTTTGTAGCTTTGTGCATAACTTCAAACAAACAAATAGTTCCCAAACTATCTTCATAAAAGCCACTAAAACACTAAATAAGTTTGCCAAAAATAGATGGTGTCAGTTGTCATTTGATAATCAGGTGAATTATCAGTGATTGTGTAATGTATGTTTTCTAATATTGTTTCATCGTGTGAGTTACACATAAAAACAAACTGAAACTATGAAAAAAGTAAATAAGTAATAAGTGATTGTATATCAAATCCAATCATAGTTCAGCCATATGATCAGGATTACTGATTGAAGTTATATTCTCTTAAGACAAACATGTTTACCTTTTGACCCAATTATATTCTCTCAACAGTGTTCAGTTCAAAGAGAAAAGGAATGGGATCGATCCTGCAGAATTGGTTCCTACACATGAGTTGACCCCCCTGTGGCACAGCGGTATGTCTGCGGACTTACAACGCTAAAAACCGGGTTTCGATACCCGTGGCGGGCAGAGCACAGATAGCCCTTGTGTAGTTTTGTGCATAATTAAAAACAAACACATGAGTTGACTTGGGTTAAGTGACGACAGCCATTACCTTTGGTCATTAGAATCCACTAATTAATGATCGAACAAAATCGACTATAAAAAATTTACAAGTGTTAGGGGACTCGAATTTAGCCATGTATTTATATCATCGTTAGATTTTGAAATGAAAAAAATTATATTTAACAAAAAAAACAACAACATAAAAGTATCTCAGAGTTCACACAGTAGAACTTATATTATTGTCTGGAATACTGAGAGTTGTCTTTTCTCAAAACACTCATTAAAACATAAAGACATTCATGGAATATGTAATAATTTTGGGTTTAGTTTAGTTTTAACTTCTAAACTGTTAACGATTCTTAACAAATTTCAACTGTACATTTTGAAGAGGGTTTGATTTCTCACGGTGTACAGAAAGCAGATAGCCAACTGTGTAGCTTTGCGCTAAAACAGCAATAACAACGACTTGAAGTAATGGAAAAAAAAAGAGAAACTTAGAACTCTAACGTAGTTAAGAAAGAAAGACCTTTGTAACTTAGAAACCTAAGTTTTTGTCGTTGGTTTATTAATTTGTGTTCAAAAAGAATGACCCCTTACGCCTACTGTTGCGGGTGATGCAACTCATATGCGAAATAAATTTCAGTACAAAGCTACGAAGTCATTACAAGTATTTAATCGAGGGAAGTTTAAGGACTGGCAGATTTTAATCGATGTTTATTAGTGTGTCATACTAAACCACCGATACAACGCTGATAATATAATAACTCCAAGTTTTGTTTGAATTTCGCGCAAAGCTACACGAGGGCTATCTGCGCTAGCTGTCCATAATTTAGCAGTGTAAGAGTAGAGGGAAGGCAGCTAGTCATCACCACCCACCGCCAACTCTTGGGCTACTCTTTTACCAACGAATAGTGGGATTGACCGCACATTATACCGCCCCACATACAAACAAACAGACATCGAACGATATGAAGCTGTCTATACAAAATAACAGTAATATGACTTCTGACTATTTTACAAGCTTACGTATATTATGTGACTAGTTTAATATATATTACAGTTACAGTTTTAATTCATTCATCTGTCTGTGTTCAGTAAAATCACTATATCGACAAATGATAACTTCGCGAAGGATTTGTCTTTTGTGTAAACAAATTCTGAAATATACTTAATCTATATGTATAAGTTATGTTTTGATGGTCTACTTTATACATATAGTCTTGGCCAAAATATTTGCATATTTTGTAACAAATAAGATCATTATTATTAAGATGGAATACAAATACACTTAGTGCTGTCAAACTAACAAATGCATGTTATATTACATATATACATATGTAATATGTATAATGAGACAGGTTACTATGGA